AATCTGTAGAGCTGGAAGCTGAGAACTGGCGACTTTGTAGTACAACTTTAGTACGCGGAGTATCTGGCGAGCTGGGCGATGAGAACTGGCGACTTTGTAATACAACTTTAGTACGCGGAGTATCTGTGGAGCTGGAAGCTGAGAACTGGCGACTGCGTAGTACAACTTTAGTACGCGGAGTATCTGTGGAGCTGGATGGTGAGAACTGGCGACTTTCTAGTATTCTAGTACAACTTTAGTACGCGGAGCAATCTGTAGAGCTGGAAGCTGACAACTGGCGACTTTGTAGTACAACTTTAGTACGCGGAGCAATCTGTGCAGCTAGAAGCTGAGAACTGGCGACTGTGTAGTAGAACTGCAGTACGCGGAGCATCTGGGGAGCTGGAAGATGAGAACTGACTGGCGACTTTCTAGTACAACTTTAGCACGCGGAACAACCTGTGGAGCTGGAAGCTGAGAACTGGCGACTTTGTAGTACAACTGTAGTACGCGGAGCAACCTGTGCAGCTAGAAGCTGAGAACTGGCGACTTTGTAGTACAACTTTAGTACGCGGAGTATCTGGGGAGCTGGAGGCTGAGAACTGGCGACAATGTAGTACAACTTTAGTACGCGGAGGAGTCATCTCTTGCGACTGAGTCATCTCTCGCTGCTGAGTCATCTCTCGCGACTGAGTCATCTCTCCCTGCTGAGTCATCTCTCACTGCTGAGTCATCTCCCACGACTGAGTCATCTCTCGCTGCTGAGTCATCTCTCGCTGCTGAGTCATCTCTCACTGCTGAGTTATCTCTGGCTGCTGCTCGCTCCTGAGTCATCTCTCCCTGCTGAGTCATCTCTCACTGCTGAGTCATCTCTCGCTGCTGAGTCATTTCCCGCTGCTGAGTCATCTCTCGCGACTGAGTCATCTGTCGCTGCTGACGCGACTGAGTCGTCTCTCGCTGCTGAGTCATCTGTGGTTGCTGAGTCATCTCTCATTGCTGACTCATCTCTCGCTGCCCACTCATCATACGCCACTCGTCATACACCCATACAAGACTCATCATACATCACTCATCATACACCACGAATCATAACCCAACACTGGTTACAGTTGATTGCTTTGTCAACAGGTAAGTTTGTACTGAAGGTTGAAGTCCGGAGCGCGTGCGTTTGACTGGGGGACGCGCGTGTTTGAGAGAACCAGAACACTCCTATAGGTCAATTTGTTCTTATAGGAAACTTCCGCCGCCGGCTTGCCCGGGAACTACTTGTATACTATCTATATTTATTGCAACACCGGGCTAATTGGCTCAAGCCTGATGTGTCGAGTCCTGAAAAGGGGATGAGCCTTTGGCTCCCGCTGACACTGCTCCCGCAGTGGTAGCGGAGCCAGTTCATGGCAATGGAACCGCTGACACCACCACCGGGGTTTTCTCCTGGGGCTCCTGCCTGGGCTGGAGCCGCTCAACGACCTGAAGCTCCTGCTCAAGGTGGACTTCTCGTGACACGACAACCTCCTATATCCAGCCCAAAACGAACAGAAGCACCTCCGGCACCTTTAAGACTTTACAAAGGGCCCCTGTTCTTGGGCGCGGGCTGTAGGTGTAGAAGTTCGAAGAGCTTGAGCCTGGATCGCTTCCAATACGACAACGAAACCCATCCTCGTCCTTCTCGATCTTATTGCCCTGTTCTTCCTTCAAGGCGTCTGGGGCAATCGTTGGTTTAAGCTTTGCGCCATCATTTATGGTGGCCTTTCAGGAATTCCACAGAAAGGTGAACGACAACCACCTCCTCAAAAATCAGGCCATATGTCTTCACTTGCAAGCCTATCAAAGACTTTGCGCTAGAAGATGCCAATCTGCCGGCATCATCTTGGAGACGACTGATAGAAAAGGAGTCCAACCGCGCGTGATGTTAGGCTTCAGCGAGCCCGGCCTCCTGAGTCTGGAAACCAGCGTCTTCAAGCTCATCGAGAATCATTAAGTTTCACTGTTCCGTTGATTGCGCCCATGGTCTGGGCCTCAGGATAAGCTGACTTCACACAGGCCTTCCTCTGGTGACTCCATCAACCGGGTCAGCTCATTAAGCTGAAACAGATTGTTACGGTCTTACGGGCGGACCTGGTTCCAACACATCGTTTCTGGTTCCAACACATCGTTCAGTCAGTACCTCACCAAAGGCTTTGAGGCTTGATATCGGCAATCACTTGTTGATCCGTGTCTCTTATTCTGGACCGCGAGGGCGCTAATGTTATCCAAGGGTGACACGAACACTGAGTCCATCGAGGGCATCATTGATCTTCTCCACTCCACGGAGGATCTGATCGACATCTCCAACGTTCGTGGGAAAAGATTTCACTCCAATCTCCAACGGTTCCATCTCACTCCAATCTCCAACGGTTCCATCACCATTGAGCAGGAGTTGCGGGGCCAAGAGATTCTATATAGACGAAGGAGCGCAAGAGACGCAGATATTCACTTGGACACCTGTTACAGTGGAAATTCATCCGATGCTGCGTGGGAAACGCCTGCGGGTTTGGACAACACCTCTACCCAGTGACTGGCGGGAAGAAACAGAAACTGTGGGGTCAGACACCTGTACACGATCTATTGGCAGATCGCAGCTCCCAGACCACGACCTAAAATGCCCCCACATTCACTAAACCACGGCATGAGGCATCCTAACACTGACTTCATCGCCATGGACCGGAAAAACATTTTCCGAAAACAAGAACAGGGCTCAAGCCTGGACCATAAAGAGATTCTACAGGCAAGGAGGCAGGATCACCTTCTTCTACTACGCTTCAACGCTCAGCCCAAACCCAGGCACTGGTTCAAGGACGAGGACTAGTGCATTGGCACAGGGCGCTCGAAGGGTTTGTCACCCCGCTCGACAATGGCAAGAGTGTGGTTGCCCGGCTGCCACCCAGCCTCGCAACGCGAGGATAAGAGAACTTCCATTGACATCTCCCTGATCAAGCAGGATTCACTGGTCATCGACGTTTGCAGACTCGCTGACCAAACCTGGAAGAAGCGGCCGTGCTACGACGAAAGCTGGTCGAGTGAGGAGAGCGCGAGGTGTTTCTTAGTTTGGCATGCGCCTTTTGACCGGTGCAACGCTGAGGCTCTTCATTTCTAGGTCAAAAGGGCCGCCAACCAGGCCAATCCAGGTTGGCTCAAGCCTGACGCGCCGAGTCCTGAAAAGGGATGATGAGCCTTTGGCTCCCGCTGCCACTGCGTCCGCAATTATTGGATCGTTTTGGGACAAAGCCATTAACCCTGTGATTCTGACGCTGCTAAGCATTTGACCGCTTCAGATGGCTTGCGCTGTTCGCGATCGCTTTGGGAGCAGAATTGTTGGAACACCTGGCCCTGCCAAATCGCTTTGGCGGGACTCCCCATGGACCTGGCTAAGCTAAGTGCTTGGCGTTCACCCTTCTCCGGCATTGATGACGCTGACGGTTACACATGCTGTTGTTCCAGCCTGCTCTTCAGGCCAGTTCAACTGCCAGGAAGAAACAAAGAAAGACCCGACCAGACCAGACCAGACCAGACAGAAAGAAAGAAAGAAAGAACAAAAACAAAACCAAAACCAAAGCGCGCACATGTCTGCATAGATCAATTCAGCAGTGGCTCCGCCAGCCTCCATTTGCATTGGATGCCCCGACCACACGTGGCCGGCGGGGCCCTCAGACAGCAGAGCACCAGGCTTGCAAAAGTCACGTGCAACTTGGCAGTTCAGGCTCTTTCCGGTGCGTGGTGACCGACTACCGAGGAGCTTGCTTTGACCGTGTGAGTGAGTTGCACGTTTTTCTTGGGGGGCGCGTCGGTAGGAACAAAGCACATCGACCTTTCAACAGCTTTCCGGGTCAGAAGTTCTCACTTGGTGGGCAACGACCTCGGAAGCGTCGAAAGTAGACAGTTTGTTCACGCGTTTTCCCTGGTGTGCGTTTGTGTGGCATGACGAATGATGATGAATGTCACACTGCTACGTACTGACAGGCTTCGCCCACCGGCGACGCCCTTGGGGGGACTGCACATATCCGGAGGGTGCTTGCGCAGCAAAATGCGACGATGAGCACAGCCTTTTATGCCTGCACAATCCCACACAGGTGTGCGCGCACCAGGGTCTGATGGAAAAGCCAGGCAACCTCAGCTTCAGAGACACGCGCGCACATGCACCCGCGCGCGCACCAACGCACACGAACGCACACGCACGCCCGCACGCCCCTGTGCGCGCGCGCGCGCGCATGCACGCAAGCGCGCACGGCTTTTTCAATTATCATGGCTTTGTAGTGGAAAACGCTGAAAACATTGTTTGTTGAATATTTTTGAGCATTTTCAAGCCTCAAGCATTACAATGTCCTGATATTGGAACAAGCCATATGAGCCCAGGCGGTGCTAGAAATGTCGGCCGCAAACCGACATTGTGAACATCACCGGGACGTATGTATGTTAAGGTGTATTTTTTCATTTCGACTTTTTTTTTGAAATCGACTTTTTTTTCTATTTAAATTTTGTGAGAACACAAAAACTTAACCTCCCAGGTCCCTGACCCGCCCCCGCGCTAAGCCACTTTTTTCCTCCACCTGCCGTGGGCCTCGGTCTGGCTGTCATGTGGCGCCTCCAATCCGAGGTAGCCCTGACTGGCGCCTCATGGTATTCTGAGGTGGCCACTTAAGAAGGTAGGTGTCTGGACTCATGTGCTGGATCCAGATCGCCGCTCTCCTTTGCAAAACCAGTTGCAGGCTTCGTTCCACATTGCGATGTGGCGTCCACACTTTCGAACTTCTTCAGGGAGGTTTGCCACCCGAGCCCACGATCCTCTGAGATCACTGAGTCTGCGATCTCTCGGGCTCGAGTGTGCCTGGCTGATGTGTGACTTAGGCGTTGAAAGTGAACCACCGAGTCACGATCCAGGCACTTGGCCTTCCAGACTGCATAAATGTCTACGCCATGCTGCAAAGATGATAGTATAGCACTTCAAAAGCCTGTTTTCAAGCTGCCCAGCGGCCTTTCCCCAGCGCTTCCAATTTGCCATCGCGGTTGGCTATGCAAGTAGCGATAAGCTCTCTGAAAGGTGTCAGCTCAGCAGGCTGCCATCCCTTTTTCAATTCTGAGATGGCGCCTTGTAATTCCAGCTCCAGGTTGTTGTCTCCATCCACGAAGTCTTGTAGGATTTTGTCTTTCGCTCCCCCGGGCAAAGCGTGCTGGTCTTGGATTTCCTGCAAACATGAAATCAAGAGCTGACTCATTTGCGTTGCCTCGGTCATTGCAGCCGTGTCCAATTTGGAGCGAATTGCACTGGGTTTGCGCGCGTGTGAACAATGCACGTAGCGGACCAGCAATTCGTAGCCTTCGGATGTTGCCGCTAGCCTTTTCTGCCATGCTCGGTCGCTGTTTGCGCGCGGCTGAAAGCCAGGCATGGGCTTCTTGTTGCTAAAAGCGGTCTCATTGAATGCGCAGCCATCAAATCCAAATTCGGATACGTGCTGTAGCAACAAGGATAGGCACTGCTCGGGTAAATCCAAGAGTGCCACCAGGCCCATCCTTTTGGCCCCCTGGATGGCCGAGTCCTTCGTGGCACTTTCGTTGTATTTTTTGATGATTTCGGCTGGCTGCAGTCCTTGCGATTTAAGGGTATATGCAGCTTGCCCGCCCATGTGATGACGTCATGGGCCTTACGGATTACTCCGCGAGCGGACAACCGTGCGTTCTCCATGGCGATGGTTGCTGAATCACTTGCGGCAGTGCCAAGTCGGCAATACACTGCTAGCAAGGATTGGTGCAAGCTTGGATTCAAAAGCTGCACATCGACTTTCAACTCATTCAAAATAACGTGCGCCAGCATCAGCATGCTGGTAGCACGAGCAGCCCCTTTCAGCTAGTGGGTCCAAAACAACGCCCCCGCCTCAAGCTCCTTAGAGTATTTGAACTCCGAGGGCAGGTCAAAGGGCTGCTGATACAGAAGCAAAGGCTCCTGTGCAGTCAGACAAGTGTTCGTTAAATACTCGTCTGCCAGGGCCGCTGCCGTGACTCTAAAAGTCATAGGCTTGGAGCTGCAGCACTCCACAAAGCCCAGTTGCCACAAAGACACCCGAAACGTCTCACTCGGGTCGTGGCCCCGAGGCAACTCAAGGCTCTCCAGGTAGGACAAATCGGTCCGCCTGGGAAAGGCCACCTGAAGCTGCTCAGCGAAATCTTTCCATTTCAAGTTTCCTGGGCTGCCCAGTTCGCGCATATTGCACTGGACCTCCACAAGCCTCGAGGTGGAAGTTCATGGCTGTCCAAGCGACTTCCTTGAAGTTAGCTTCAGTGATTGCCATTGATGCTGCAGGTGGGTGAGGGGCCTGATGTCCGGAGGATAGTAGATGGTTTCATGGCCACGTCCTCTGGAGCCTCGGGCTCTGATTTCTTGTTATTCTCTGGGTCCTCTTTCATCTCTTCCTTCACATCCATGGCGTCTGGGCGACCAACCCTGCCGGGGAATGTGCCTAGCCTAACTTGTTACTATTGGACTTTTTCTGTTGGCTTGCCTGACACCATGCCATGCTTCTTGACTACCCGGTCTCCTTACCGAGCCCAAGTTTTGGGAAAGCCACCAGAATTCTAACTCAACGTTAAAAACCCATTTTGCGACTAACTGGGGGGGTCGAAAAGTGACCCCCCCAGATCGTCGCGTTTCAAACGAAACGTGACTAACTCCCAGCCCAAACCCTGGATCGTGACTAACTGGGGGGGGTCGAAAAAATGAAACCTTAGATCGTCGCGTTTGTATAACCTAGATCAAGAGATCGTCGCGTTTCAAACGAAACGTGACTAACTGGGGGGGTCGAAAAGTGACCCCCCTAGATCGTCGCGAAATGGACTCAAATCATGGTTTCTGAGGGTCTGATGGTGACTTGTTTGATAGTCTGGCGCTGGCGCGGTTCGATGCCATGGTCTCTTTTTCCGCCCGTGAGTGCCAAGTCATGTCCATATTCAATATGTTCCCAATCATACTACTCAGCCGCCACCCATCACTATGCGCAAGTGGGCTTGATTCAAATGGCCGCTTGCAACCATCCTCAGCTTGATGAGCTTATCCTGGAGTCAGGGCGGCAGTCCCAGACTGCTGGGCCCACTCCAACCGCACAGCGTCTGCCAGGTGGTCCACCAATTCCGGGGAATACACTTGGCACCATGAAGAGAGTTGAAGACCCGATTCGGAGCCTTGGATCACTGCGTGCTCCTCGGTGCAATTGCACTGGAGGGGAGAAAAGATGTTGTGGATCTCCCGGCTGTTGGTCATCAGAACCGTCCTTTTTTGATAGGTTTCAAGCCGGAAGGAGTCCTCAGACCAGTTCGACACTGGTCAAAAGAAATCAGGAACACATTGGGTTTGTTTGCAAGTTCGGCTATTGATGCTCTGCGCCAACTGGATGCGCCCGGTGGATGTTGATGACAGAAGAAACGGTTGCCTCTCAGCTGCCGATCGGCAATATGCATGGCAAAATCCAGCATGCAGTTGGCATCTGCAAACCTCTGTTTGCGAATCTGCGGCTGCATTTTTTCAAATTTAGGTTTTGCATTTTGCTGAACATAGTGCATGGCGGAGATAGCATGACGAAAAAAGGTGCATGCGTCTCATACAATCTCAGTGCTCTGGCGCGATCTTCAAACTTCAAGAAATCGTAGCCAGTCATCAAATCAAAACTGTACCGCGCGAAGAAGCCAGTTCTTCGTAGCGGCAGTGCCACCCGTGGAGGTGAATAAAACTCCATGAAGTGGTGGGGAAGGCACTGAATCTGGTTGGCGCCTTCTTCTTCAATTTTGTCGATGACCAAGTCACACAAACTTGAACTGGCTTGCAAGGCGCCTTCCCAAGGAGCAGGCCCTGGATCCGATACGGATATTTGCAGCTGCCTAGCGGATGAGTCGGCTTTGATATGAAATGATTCAGTGTCCCAAAACTTGCGCTTTTGAATATACTTGAAGGTCTTGTAAAATAGATTTATCACCCAAACCGGTTCCCACAAAATGATATATCATCCACATCACTGCATCATTATGTGCCCGGAACCAGGCGTTGGTGGTCGCGGAGGTGAGCTTTTTGGCGCCTCCATCATCTCAATATCGGAGCCATCCTCGTCTGAGCTGCCAATTATGGTTATGTCCTCCACAATGCTCCCAATGAGCTGTTCAAGGTCTTCTTAGACCCTAGTGTGGCTTGTTCGAATTTGCGCCATCATGGTGCCATGATGATGCATGTCTCCGATTTCAATCATATGATTATGTGAATGTCATGACAAGTCAAACAATAATTGCTCTGAAACTAAAGTACTTTTATGATGAACAACCATTCGTCGCATGAAACATTGAAACTGAATAGGGGTTGCAATCCGTTTTCAGCTGCCTTGGGATCTGAGAAGGAAAAGTGAAATCTATGGCTTGAAAATCCATTCGGTCCTCTCCTCGTTGAGGACAAGCCCTGCCAGAGTCCGACACCGCGCGCAACCGCCTTAAACCTGCATTTGTGGCCGCCCAATTGGACTCCAGGAGGCTTGGGAAGAAACATGAAACATTGAAACATTGAAACTGAATCGTTGTGATTCGACTTGCTTGGCTCTGGCCCTGGGCCTGACCATGGCGGAGCCTCAGTCCCTGGCGCATCTTGGCTAGACCCCGCTTGGTTATTTTCCTGGCTAGGATAATCGCTTGAGTCCGGCCAGGGACACGAGTCCGCCCAGGATTGGGTAGGACCATCAGTCAACCAGGGATCCGCCCAAGTTTGGGTAGGATTCTGGTCTTGCTCTGACTCTTCTGGCACCGAGCCAAATTTGGGCACCCAGATATATCTTGGTCGCAAGGTTGACCTGGAGGACCCCCGTTGCTTTGGGGCCATCTCTGG